AAAGGCGATTGACTCGCGAGTGGCGCATGCCATCGAACCGGCATCGGGTCGAGAAGACCGCAGACGATCGTAAAAATCGCGTAATTACATAACCTTGTTTCTCGCAAAACGGGCAAAAGGTGAAAAAATCGCGATGAAGAAATAACGTGTATTCTCGTTGTTCTTACAACTGTATGTCTCGACGTACATTGAAGATTTTTCTACCGAGCATAGTCCATTTGCCTAACGTGAATGTAACAAGTGAAAATCGCTTTATAGAGAAACAGAAATATATTTCAAAATATTGAGAGAGAGAGAGAGAGAGAGAGAGATTACCTAAGATAAATTCTGAATATGTATCTCAGTTCTCAAGAACTCAGAAATCAATCAAGGTGAGCTCTGAGGTGAAATCATCAGAAGTGTAAGTCAAGTTTCATTGAAAGGAGAAAGAATTTGATCATTATAACTAAGCTGTTCCACCAGATTGAAGATTTTGACAGTTCAGGAATTACACCTGTACGACGAGAGACTATGCTAGAAAAAAATGTATAATACACGAAAAAACGTGTGATGCTAAATACGCGAATTCTTAATTCCTTAATACACGTTTCGCGCCCGTCACGTGTATTCCAGCGCAAAGTTCGGGAACGCGATCACTTCAGAGGTTTCACTCTCTCACCTGTTTTGGTTGAAGATGGCGTCGATCGAACGCCGGACACCGGTTCGGTTCCTCTGGAGGAACTTCCTTCGTCTTTTTCACGTCACCGGAACAGGCCGATTTCACTGGTAAAAACGACGATAAAACGCGTCGCGCGCGAACGAAGTCTATGCAGACGGTTCACTGGAACGACTGGCGATGGATGATCGTCGATCGGCGAAACTTTGGCCGGCGTCGTATCTTCGTGGTTTCTTCGTGGTTTCTTCGTGGTCACGCACGCTCAGCCGCTGTCGGATGATCGCTTCTTCGTGGATTTCTCCGACAGCAAACAAAACAACTTCGTTTCGTTCTTGACTCGCTATGATGCAACGCGAATGTACAAAGATGAAATTGTCATGTTTCAAGCTTATCTGAATGTAGGAGATGAGATTTCTGAGATCACATATAAATTGTTCTCTCTGTGATTTGATGTTGTAGGTGAGGTGTTACGAGATGGATTTATTTGAGATGTTCTTTTGCTGGATTTGTTGAGGATTATATGCCCCCTTCATCGTTTCAGCGTACTAACGTTTGCAATAATAATAAATTAATCGCAAGTACGTTTGTGTTGATAATAATTGGGATAAAAATGGAATTTCATTGCGAAATCGAGCCTCGTTTAGACTGAACAAATTATCTGAATTAAAACGATAAAAAAAAAAATGCTTGAAATTTTAATATGATATTAAGCTTCGTTCGGATTAATGAAATTATTGAAATTGAAGCCGTTTTACGTCAAGCATCTTAGATTAAAATATTAATAGTGGTTGTGAATCTTCTTTGGATTGTAATCAAGTTACATAAATGGTACATTGTTTAAATTCGAATAAGTCAACCAATAAAGTATAGCAAGATGAATATATGTGTTATAACTAGAGAAAAAAAATGTTAAATTTCACATCCCTGTAATGCTGTATATTATAATAGTCATGCTGTAATTATTATATCTAATACATTACGTGTAGAAAGTCGTCTTTAATATTGTACAAATTGGAAATATATGATTCATAAATTTTATGTGTTTGATTATTTTTTAATATTTCCTCTATGTGTATATATATATATATATACATGCAGAGATATTTTATATTCTTTTAAAGATCATATTTGGTATTTTTTGATGAATTAATATGAAAGTATATCAAAAATAGTATAAATAGTATGTATGAGGATAATCCCTGACATACTCATAACTTACTGAATGAACAATTACTAATTATAAGTATTATTAAATTAATGTATATGAAAATTCGAACTTCCGATTGTAATAATTATAAATGAAGATAACTAAGAGAGAAAAATAATTAATGTATTTCCATTTTATTTATTAGCATAACTGAAACAGTCGTTGCAATTGCAGTTCGGCTAGTAAAATTTGTACATATATAAATTACACACATCGATTTATTTTTCCCACAATGAGTGAATTAAGAAAAAGAATTCTCGTCATTTTGTTCATACTTTCTTTATATGTTATAAAATACTTCTGATATTCTCGAATTTCGTGGTATGCACATTGTTATTGTTCAAATCAGACTTATAAAGACAAAAATTGACAAACAGTTTAATCGAAATAGTAACAAACGAGGCAACATAATTAACTGCAATAAATTAAAAAAAAAAAACACTTAGATCTATATATTACAACAACAATTATGACAAGTGTTGAATTTGAAACATCGCAAATTGACCCAAATAAGTTCTCAATATGCGTGATGTGAAAATATTTCTAGAAAGGCATTGCCTCAAGAAAAGCATGAAATCCTTATATTTGGAAATTTCAATCGTCATGCTCAAAGTTAAAAAAAAAAAAAAAAAAAAAAAAGAAACCATGCAATGTTGAATCCTATTTAATATTTATTACTTCACCATTAAAATTTCAAAATTTTGAAGCACATTCTCGCGATAGTTCGCTGTTTACGCACACATAGAGCAATGAACGTAGCGCAAGTTAAGTGCGTCGTATATCTCTTCTCGTTTTTTTCATTTTGATAGTCGTTAACGCAAGTATTATTATCTTAATCAGAACGATGATAACAATAATCGACGCGTACCTTCAGACTTCTATATCCGATTGACTCATGATTATGTTCAAGAGAAACATAAAATACGTCGAACACACAATTTTCGTCGTTTCTGTGCGATGAGAATTTTGAATCCGATGACTTCAAAAAAGAACACACGTATCACCCAGCCATACACGTGCACGTAACAAATTATTCACATAATTTCTCCTCGACGTGCTTGATTTTCCCTTTCATTCATTATTCCTCACTCACTCTCCGACCATACAATTTTACAAATCTCTCTCGTTAGCTGTTTTTTTCTTTTTCTTTTTTTTTTTTTTGCATTTTATTCGTTTCATCGTTTATCTCTCTCTCTCTCTCTCTCTCTCT